AGTGACCCCTTAGCAGACCTCAGGATCCGCTACACTGTATAATGGCCCCCTGCCCTGGTGCCGACCAATCAATCCGCGGAGACCTATGGTAGATCCCGAAAGGACACACCTGCAAAGCTGGTGAGTATTCTAGTGAGATCTTCCCCTGGGACCGCCCTTAAAATCGCCCCCCTGAATTCCCTTAGGACTGAGCACCCAGAGCACTCTGCCTCCCTGGGGCACACAGGAGCCTTTCCCTTTTCCCTCTCTCCCTGCACTTCCTCACTTCCTTGGCCTTTATGCTTGTTTCCTAAACCCATTTCTTCTATGAGTTACTTCTAGCTCTGTGGTTTTATAAATAAATATTCTCTCATAGATTGAGTCTTGGCTCTGAATTCTTTCTTAGCCAGAAATCAAGTACCAAGGTTGCTGAACCCAGGTCTAGTCTGACTCCATGGTCTCAAGTCTGCCTCCAGGAAATTCTTAACAGAACGTTACAACTTGAGACCAGGGCCATCTCCATCTCAGCTGCCTCCAGGAAATTCTGAACCAGGTTAGCCTGAATTCCTTCCTTAAAGAATAGGGGTGCAGTCTTGCCCCTGCTCGTCTGAGCTGAGTCCTGTGTCCTCATCTTCACTTTTGTCCTCCAAGAAAGGGTCTTACTAATGCATGTCAGTACCTGCCGTGGGCAGCCTGACAAGTCACAGCTCCCACAAGCCAGCCGGTTTGCTGAAGTGATCCGGAGTGGGAGTACTGTCTAGCCCTGGATCCCAGCCCCAGGATGCTCTGTCTTCAGACTTACTTTTCGTCAGCCCGACCAATTTAGCACTATTAGTCATTCCCCCGAAGCAGAAGCTTAACTTCCTCCTTCCATCATGGAAGTTGCTTTTCTCTGCTCTCATTCTAATTTGTTTCTGCCTTCCTGGAACAGGGGTAGCCATCCCTTATCACGGAGTGAGTTATAATTTGTTACTGAAATGATTCTGCCAAAAGATTAAAAATGAATTTTACTAAATTATATTTAAAAAAAAAAAAGGAAATTCCTGAAATCCTCTTGTTGAAGAAAACATGAATTTAGTGCTTGCCTGGCTCAGTTTGGCTATAGCCGGGAGGAAGCAACACTTTGCCAGTGAAGAAATTATCTCTAGGCAGGCTAATCGCTCTGTCTATTCACTCATGCCATATTTATTGAGGACCTACTGTGTGCAAGGTGCCATCAGGCACCAGGGATATCAAAATGAGTAGAACAGACATTTTTCCCCTCCAAAAGTAGGAAACACAGTAAGTGAAAGAATGGAAAATTACCATGAGGAGAAGTGAGCATTTGTGCAAAGTGCCATGAGGAGACTGAAGGAGCAAGTCCTCATGTTGGCCCCTCACAGGGGAGGGGACAGCAGAGATGGGGGTGGGGAGGGGACCCTGCTCTCTCATCATTGTAGCTAACGCAGCTGCCAGAGGCCCAGGCCTCTAACAGAACTCTGTGATGTTTTTAGCTCCATTGCTGGGCACAAATCATTCATCGGTGTGGGCGAAGGAGCTTCAAGGACACAGGAAAAGGACAAATGGAAACTAAATAAAAAGAAAAAGCCTTGGATTGCTCTCAAGGAGAGAGACCTATCCCAGGGAATACAACCCAATTACAGCTATTCCATGGCACACAGGATCAGTCATCCTTAGAAAGCAGAAGGCCTGCCGAAACTGGTTTGGCTCAGTGGTAGAGTGTCGGTCTGTGGACTGAAAGGTCCCGAGTTCGATTCCGGTCAAGGACATGTACCTTGGTTGCGGGCACGTCCCCAGTCAGGGGTGTGCAAGAGGCAGCTGGTCAATGTTTCTCTCTCATCGACGTTTCTAGCTCTCTATCTCTCTCCCTTCCTCTCTGTAAAAAAAATCAATAAGATATATTAAAAAAAAAAAAAAGAAAGAAAGAAAGAAAGCAGAAGGCCTGCCAGATTTGCTCTTGCACACGTAGTGCACAGGGATTCATTTGCACACGTATCAGGCCCTGGGTTAGGCTTTCTGGAAGTGGTAGTGGTGTTACTTCAGGGTCTAATCAGGGCCGGGATAAATGTTTTGTCTGTGTCAGAGCAGAATAGGCCTAAAGTCCCTCGAGGCAAGCCAGTGTCTGTACTAGCCCCTGGGATCTGGCCAAGTGGGGAGTGAGAAGAGCTGGGTTTGACATTAGCCTCTGCCACCAAACAGCTGTGTCACCTCGGCGAGTAAGTTCACCTTTCTGCAGCTCAGCGTTCTGATCTATAACGGGGATAGCAATCCTTCCTCTCTCTCTGCTTGCTGCACAGCAGGGCACATTAGAAGGAAGACAGTGCATATGCTCAGCTGGGTAAGGAGAGGTGAGGTTCATTGGTTAGCAGCACAATTAATGCATTTGAAACATTAATGATAAGTTATTTACAACTTTAGAAAGGACCTCTTTTTTTCTTCTACCTCTTTAAGACAATTTTATTATTCCTCCTGCCTCCTCCATGTTAGGATCTGGGGGTAGTCTTTCTGAGGGGGAATTCCCTCTCCACCGTCCATTCTGCCTCCATCACTCTGGTCCCAGGGAGTGCCCTCCAGAAATGGACTCAGCTCCGTTAGCCATGAGGGCGCCTGAGACTCACGCTGATCTTGTCTTTGCATCAAGCTTCATGAATATGAACTGCATATGAATTTTCTCTCTTGTGCTGGATGAACAATTATTTGATTTATTGAAATACCAGCTCCAAGTGAGAGGACAAGACACTCCTGGGGTCTACTGGTCAGAAAGTCTGGCTTGAGGCCTGGCTGGTTGGGTTCAGTTGGTTGAGTGCCATCCCATGTATAAAGGTCACCAGTGCCATTCGGTTTGATTCCTGGTCAGGGCACATGCCAGAGTTTTTGCTCCATCCCCAGTAGAGGGCATGCAGGGGGGCACCTGATTGATGTTTCTCTCTCTTCCTCTCTCTCTAAAAGTCAATAAAAATAGATATATATTTTAAAAGAAGGTGGGACTTGGCCTGGGCCTCCTTTGCAAAGAGAAACACAGGAAGAGCCCTGCGGTGGAAGCTCTGTCATTGGCCAGTCATTTTGCCCCCTCTCTGGGCCTCTGGGTTCCTCCTGTGAAATTCAAGTCGGCTGGGTGATTCCTACGTCCTCTAGCCAAGACCTCAGTGATTCTAGGAAGACCTCCATGTGTTGATATTCAAACCAACCGCACAAAGTGTTCAAATGTGTTCTTGTCAAAATCTGCACCCAGGTCACTGCAAAATCTGCGCCTCGGGTCTGATCAGTCCATTCTGAGGGTGTGCTTGCCTTCCTCTGCAGCGCCCTGAATTGCTGTGAGAAGTGGCTCCACAAGGCTTGACCTGAGCAGACTCAACGTCTATACTTGACATTACATAGATGACAGACAGGCCTTTCTTTGGATGGGGAGTGCATGATCTCAGGGTTCTGTATGTGGAAAGTCTGTATGTGAACTAGACTTCCCAAGAAACCCCATTTCACAGATACCTCCCTGGTTATTACCCTACTTCTTTCACCAGCCTGTCTCAGCACGTACGGCATCTCACAGCACCTCTCTGAGAGAAACTGATGGCCATGTTAAAGGTTCCAGAAGCTGAGTGCCTTGATGGTGATTTCAAAGAGACCCCTGAGGGGCTTGCTCTGAGAGCCCCATAAATCTCAGGCCACACTTGGGACAGCCACAATTCTCTTGCAGGGAGTGCTTATTAACCCAGTTAGCCACATCCTAACCTGAGGATCCTCTGGCTGACCTGCTCTTCCTGCTCTGTGTGGGTATTTTCTGGTTTCAGCACTGAAAGTTCCCAGGAACCCCTCAGTCCTGGGCACACCAGGACAGCAGGTCGCTCTAGGACTCAGGTTTCTCAAAACTCAGTGTATGTGTGATGATTAAACTTGCATATTTCTGGGGTGAGTAACTCTGGTCCAAATGTTTTTCTGACCACACTAGGGAAGGTAAGAACTTACAAATTTATCAGCCCTGACATTTGACATTTGGCTACCCATGATGCTTGAACTCATCTACACATTAGAATCACCTGGGAACTTAAAAAAAAAAAAATACTAATACTTGGACTTGATCCAAATCAGTAAATTAGAATATCTTGGGGTGCTGTCAGGGCTTTGGGGTTATATTTTGAAAGCCCCCTATCCCACTGGGAGAACTACCGGTAAATGGAGCAAACGCAATGGCCATTGCTTCCCTTGGGATCCATTGTGCCTAAAACCTGAACTACCACCTGGTGGCAGCCCTTCCTCTCCTGCTCTAATATAGGAAACACACTTTGGAGTGCAAGATGGCAGTATCTGGTGAAATTGAAGACAATATCATTTCTAGGAATAAAACATAAAAGAAACTTTCAGAAGAGTGGATAGGAGATATGTATGAGAATGTTAATTGTAGATTCAATTGTAATGTCCATCACCCAGAGAATGGATGCATAAAGTGAGATGGTCTATTAACCCAAACAGAATACTACGGTGTACTGCAGTGAAAATGAGTGAATCCAAGAAACATATGCCAACGTTGGAACAAAGTGGCATAAGATGTTTCTAAAGTTTGAGGCTACAGTGACCAACTTCTTGACTTGGAAGCTCTGCTTTGGCAGGCAACTATCTTGTCACTGAGGGTTCCTGGGCACGCCAGTGACAACAATAAAAAGGACTGCCCAGCAGAGAAGCCTCATCCCAGCTGCTGGAGCTCCTGTTGCTTGTTCTGAAGAAATAACTTAATAGTGCCAAAAGAATTAAGTAGTCCCCCCCCCCCCCCAAATCTTAACCTTTTTGCATTGCAATCAAGAAGTCACGTAGACATTTTAGAACTGGTTCCTGAGTTGCCCTTAAATAGCTACACAGCCTGATGCTTCATCCTCATCCATCATCCCTGTCACTGTCCACACAGAACAATACATCCTTTAGAAATGCAGAGGTGACCATGGGCCCAGGATCTCAAGGGGGTTCATCTCCTTCAGCTTCCCCAGGTGGCTGGCACATGGATATTTGGTTTAAAGGCCTGTAGAGCTCACCTGGTCCAAGTTTGGCCACGGCGTAGAGGAGGTCATAGTTGAGGACTGGTGTGGCATCGCTGATGGGCTGCCAGCCAATGGGAGGAGATGCCGGGGGTGAGATGAGAAACTGTTTGGCAGGCTGTGGTGGAGCCAAATGCAGTTTGTCTCCGTCTGTTTCTGGAGTCTGAACCTTTCAAACAGAGTAGAAATGAAGACTCGTGACTCAGTATGGCTCAGAGGTGCCACATTGGCCTCGATTTTAGCTTAGTAATTACTCCTTACCACACACCACATGCTCAATCATCTTATTTCACCCTACATCAGTGGAGCTCAACCTTTACTGTGCATCAGAATTCCCTGGAAAGCTTACTAAAATACGCACTGCGGAGTCCTGGTGTTTCTGACTCAGTAGATCTGGGTGGGCCCAACGATTTCATTGCTAACATGTTCCCAGATGATGCTAATGAAGCTGGTCCCCACATCTACCCCTCCTTTCCTTGCTTTCTTTCTTCTTCCTTTTAATTGAGGTGAAATTCACATAATATGAAATTAACCATTTTGGAGTAAACAATTCAGTGGCATTCAGTATATTCCCAATGTTTGCAACCACCTATCTCTCAAAAAAAATCTTCATCACCACGGAGGAAAGCCTGTACCCATTAAATAGTTGCAACCATTTCTGTCTCCAGTCAGAGTGTGTGGCAAGTACCAATATGATTTCTACCTTGTGGCTTTACCTATTCTGAAGGTACATATAAATGGAATCATAGAATATGTGACTTTTTGTGTCTGGCTTCTTTCATTAAGCATAATGTTTTAAAAGTTCATCCATGTTGTAGCATGTATCACTATCTCATTCATTTTTATGGTTGAGTAATATTCCACTGAATGAATAGACAGGTAGTTTGTTTACCTGTTTCACTTAATGATGCACATTTGGGTTGTTTCTACTTTTTGGCTAACACTGCTATGAACATATGTGTACATATATTTGTTTGAGACCAATTTTCAATATTTTTCTAAATATACCTAGCAGAGGAATTGCTGGGTCAGATGGTAACTGTATGTTTAATTTAAAAAAAAAAAACAAAAAACAAGTGGGATTTTAACAGATGGAGAGACTGAGGTTTCCACAAGTCATGTATGTTATTAGCAGTGTGAGATTTAAGCATGGGTCTGAGGCCAAACTCTAAGTTCTTTTTCTTTTTTTAGCTTTTATTTTATTTTATTGTGGTAAGAACACTTAACACAAGATCTAACCTCTTAACAACTTTCTAACTGGCTATTTTCTTTTTTTTTTTTCCTTCAAAATATATTCTATTGATTTTCTACAGAGAGGAAGAGAGGGGATAGAGAGTCAGAAACATCGATGAGAGAGAATTATCGATCAGCTGCCTCCTGCACACCCCCACCGGGGATGCACCCACAACCAAGGCACATGCCCCTGACTGGAATCGAACCCGGGACCCTTCAGTCCACAGACCAACGCTCTATCCATTGAGCCAAACCGGTTTTGGCTTAACTGGCTATTTTCAAAACACAAAAGACAACAAGTATTAGAAAGAAATCTTTATATACTGTTGGTGGTTCCTCAAAAAATTAAAAATGGAACCACAATACGATCCAGAAATTTTACTACTGGATATTTACCCAAAAGAATTAAAATCAGGCTCTTGAAAAGGTATTAGCACTCCTCATGTTGATTGCCACACTATTCATTATAGCCAAGATACGGATACTTCCTAAATGTCCTTTGACAGATAAATGGAGAAAGAAAATGTGGCATATACATAAAATGGAATACTCTTCAGCCCTGAATAAGAAGCGAAGTATGTTCTTTTCATGGTACCATCTTTGTAGAGTCCAATTAGAAACAATGTTTACTGACCAATAAGAGATGGATCAGGATATCTATTGATGGAACATTATGGACATTGATTGTGTATTGTGAGGACACTGTGTGCATTGCCAAAAATTACCCATCTATTTTTGGAGCAGTCAGAATTTACTTTTGGGTTAAATAAAACACAAAATTAATTTCCATATGTTTGTTAACTTTTGTTATTTAAACTTTTGTAAATTATTGAAAAGGTATGCAGTCCACTAAAACAGTCATCTAATTTAAGTTTTAAATATAATCTTGCCAGTAAGGTTAGGAGTAGTTATGATTAGAGCATTCTTTACAACTATTACTTGGTATTTGTTATGTATTTACCAAATTTTAGGCACTTCTTTATCTAATAATTTATTTAATTCTATAACAACAGTATGGGTATATATCATCACCCCCTCTTACAGCTGAGGAAACGGAGACCCCGTCAGGTTATGTGACTGATGCAGGTTAAAGCCCATGCTGTCAGGCCTCAGAGCCCACTTCTCAACCTCTATGCTGTCCCTGATACACAGGCTTATTTCTCAGAGGACTATGTATAGACCACAAACCAAGGTGACAGTTTACATTTTGAAAAAGGCGAACAATAATGTAAGGCCAAAGGATTACCTTTGGTAAGCATTACCTGTGCAAAGTAGAGTTTTAATTTTTTCCCTCGGAACTGGGTTTCATGAAGCTCTATCCTGGCTCGGGCTGCAGATTTGGGATTGCTGAAGTTTATTCGGACACGTCGGAAACTCTTAAATAGCTGGAACGTCACGCAGTCATCATAAGTCCGGAACAGACCCTCAAATTTTTCCTGAACAAAACAAACACAGAGGAACATCCATTGAGAGAGATCAGAGCTGTCTTAAGATTCTCAAAGAAGTCCATTATCTCCAAGATATTAGAGGTACTGAGTAAAGCATGTGGCAGACATTGGTAGTGATTATTGATCTTGGTGGCATTTTTCTTGCCTAAAGATATGATAGCCCACACTTTCCAAACCACCCCCAGTGTCATGTGATTAGTCCTGATCAATGACATGTATGCAGAAGGCAAAAAACAAAACAAAACAAAACAAAAACAAAACAAAACAAAAACAAAACAAAACAAAAACAAAACAACTCTTGAGAAAATTTCCAGTCTCTCTCCTTGAAGATGGCATGTGCTTGGCAGTCAGAAGTAGACTCACCTCAGCCTGGGTCCCTGAGTGCCTTTGTGGAGTACAATTATCTTGCTCCCTATTCTCAACCCTATCCTGTAAATAACTACCTTGGCAAGGAAAAAAAAGGCCCTCTATTGCACTAAACCACTGAGATTTGGGGATAATTTTATTCTCACAGCATAACCAAGCCTATCACAATATAAAGCAATCATTTAAGTTTTTTGATTCAATGCAATTCTCAATTCAATTGAACAAATCTCTATTAAATGCTCACTTTGTAAAATGCAAATGGTCTCTAGGAGAATACAGAAATGAGTATCATTTTGTTTCGACTCACAATGATCTAACAATCTAATGTGAGAGGCAGACATAGACACAAATAAGAGAATGCCCAAATGATTAGGAAAAGACTTAGAGAACTAAAAAATTTACATATTAATACCATCTGTCTGGCTCCTCTTAGCTTTAAAAATATCCTTATTATAAGCAACAAAAACAGTGCATGTTAAATTACTGTTTTTCCATTAGTGAGTATTCTTAATGGAGAAATTGACACTAAGGAAATAACTTCTACTTAAAAAAAAAATCCAGATTCTTGCCCAGCCAGTATTGTTCAGTGGGTTGAGCACCAAACTATGAAGCAGGAGGTCATAGTTTGATTACTAGCCAGGGCATATGCCCGGGTTGCAGGCTCTATACCCAGTGTGGAGCATATAGGAGGCAGTTAATCAATGATTCTCTCTCATCATTGATGTTTCTCTCTTTCTCTTCCTAGCCTTCCTCCCTATCTTTATTTCCTTCCCTCCCTCCCTCTCTTCCTCTCTCTTCCTCTATGAATTCAATAAAAACATATTTTTAAAAATTCTGATTCTTTTATTTCTACAATAAAAGGTAAATTGTTATAAGAGTGAGTACAAGTGAGAATAGAGATGCATGGAAGATTAATACTGTAAGGTTCAATGAATTTTGATTTGAAATAGACCTAAGGGATAATTAACTCAACTTTTCTCTCACCACCTCTATCAATTTAGCAGTCAGGACCCTGAAGTCTGTAGAGATCAAGACTTGCCCATGGTCACATGGCCAGTTAGTGGCAGAGCTTTGACTGGTCAAAGTCCTTATGATCCTGGATATAGAGATGCTTTCAACTACAGAGAAAATTACACTGCTAGATTGAAAGAAAGGATAACTGCTCTAATGAGAACAAGAGCTGGATAGCAATACACGGACCCAAGGCTCATGTGTGACCTTATCTAAGAGGAGCAACAGTGTGATGTAGGGTTGTAAAATCACTGACTCAGGGTTTTCATTTGACCATCTGGGCCCCACATTCTACAATGATAAAAGTAATAAACAAATAGCATTTCCTTGATGTGTCCTCTCTGCACAAGTCTTTGGGGATATGTAGGGACAAACGGCCGAGGGAAGGCATGGGGAGGGAGTGAAACCTGGCCAAGAATTAGGGACTTGCTGGCCAACTCTACTTTTTTGCCATTAGTGACATAACAATCACTTCATTTGCTTAGGCAATATGATACCAGACCAAATTGGTTAGAGGCAGATCTAGCACAGTGAACCCGCCAGACCCTTAGGCAAAACAGCGACAAGAACAAAGCCAGCATGGGGTCCTCCCTTCTAGCACCTCTTCTGTGGTTTTAATGCTCAGGTCCCCACTAGGCACACAGCGATATTTTGCTGTCCACCGGCTGCTAATTTCCTCCACTCTGGTACCCCACAAACTCAGTAAATTCCTCATTTCCTTCTTAGTTTCCTTTGTAGCCACTAGTTTAAATAAAGTTCTACAGCAGCGATCTCAAACTTGGTCTCAGAACCTTGCTATCCTCTTAAAAATTATGGGGGATCCCTAAAGAACTATTGAAATGTGGGTTTCATCTATCAATGTTTATTGCATTAGAAATTAAAATTGAGAAATTAAGAAATTTTTATTTATAAGTCTATTATATGTTAAAATAATATTTTTTTAAAAAGAATTACCTTTTCAAAACAAAAAAAAAAGGTAGTAAGAAGATTGACATTGTTTTACCTTTTGCAAATTTCTATAATTTCTAACTTAATAGAAGATGCCTAGAATCTCATGCTGGCTTCTGTGAATTTGATCAGTTAACGTGACGTTGCTTTGTCTCCAGGATAAGAAGAAAAGCTGGCCTGGTTCAAATATGCAGTTGGAAAAGGGAGGAGGGTTTTAATTGCCTTTCAATGAATTTCAAATATTCTTCCTTGATACATCATTAAAACATGTATTGTAATGTTGAATCTGTTTTCTTTGGTTATATTAAAATCCACTTATCCATTTTGCATCTTCAATAGATTTTTTTACTTGCACATGTTCTGTAGAGTGTGCATTGGTCATTTAGAAAATATTGGTTCTCAAGTTATGCTGCTTTTCCAAATGTCAACGCCTGTCATTGCAGAATATCAAAAACGCCATTCATTAATATTACTGCCTATCTTATCAAAGTTGTCAGATGCACCCTATTGGATACAAGTTTTCCAAAATTCTAGATTTGCTTGGAAGTTTATTCTTTATCATTGGCAATAAACACTGTTGGTTATTTTACTTTTTAAAAAAATATATTTTTATTGATTTCAGAGAGGAAGGGAGAGAGAGAGAGAGAGAGAGAGAGAGAGAGAGAGAGAGAGAGAGAGAGAAACATCAAGAATGAGAGAGAATCATTGATTGGTTGCCTCCTACATGCCCACACTGGGGACCAAGCCCACAACCCAGGCATGTACCCTGACTGGAATCGAACTTGGGACCCTCAGTCTGCAGACTGACACTCTATCCACTGAGACAAACCAGCTAGGGCTAGTTATTTTTCTTGAAGTATATGCTCACTCATTCATTTTTGAGAAAATGGTTGCCAAATATCGAGATCTGCATAACTGTAATTTGCTTGTTAGATATCTTTTCAAGTCAACAATTTGTTCCATGAGAAAAATACCTGCCCAATTCAGCTTTGGACAGCTTAGACTGTTGCCTTGAGACAAGCATTGTGTTTTGGTTGCTATAGAGTGCTTTATGTGTACGCTCCATATTGTTATTCAGATTACTAAAAAGGCTCAAGGGTAGAGTTAATAGAATTAATTTGTACTGTTTGATCAAGGACGTTCTTATGAAAAACTGGTATTTTGCTTCTTACTTTTCCTTTTTCTAAATTTAAATCATGAGTGTGTCACTGTAAAGAATACAAATACTACCAATACCCTAAAGACAGTTGCTTTTGCCTCAGAAGTGTGAATGTCAACACAGTTGAGAAGGAAATTGTTTTAATATTATTATGAATACTAGAAGGCCGGTGTATGATTCATGAACAGGGGTGGGGGGGGTGGAGGAGGGAGGGAGGGAAGGAAGGTGTCCCTCAGCCCAGCCTACACCCTCTCTAATCCAGGACCCCTGGAGTAATGTCCAACTGCCCGGTTAGGCCCGATCCCAGCCTCCAGAATAGAGAGGCAATATACTCCTGCTACTTTACTAGTAAGCCACTCAGTTCCAGCATTCCTAGGGAACTAATACAGGCAGTTATGCAGCACCAGTGACCAACTAAGTCTGGGAATGAGACAGTTTGAATAGAACCAACCAATACAATTAGGCCATTTGTTTCCTAGGAGAGCAGTAAGGGGACAGGTGGGTCATTTTAGGGTGAGGTATGCAAGACACATGTGTATACATGTGTATGTGTGTGTGGGGGAGGGTAAAGGAGGATCAAGAGGAAACTGTTCGATGTATTCTACTTGGTTGATAGATACAAAACATCAAAGAATTTTATAGATTAGTAAAATTTTAAAACATTATCTTCAATATAATTCTATACCAGGCAGGCTGCAGATAAATAATACCATCTAATACATTATCTCACTGAATCACCATTTTCCTGAACAGGCCCCTTTGAGAGAGTGTTGGGTTATCATCATCATTGAGTAGCATATGAAGCAACTGAAAGCCATAGAAGCTAATGGCCTTTACAAAGTCACACAACTAATTAGTTAGCAAAACCAGAATTAGTAAGCTCAAGTGATATTTACTACATAAATATCATAGATGGTATGCAAACAAATGAGAAGTCTGAAAAGCAAGAACATCAGCGTTCCTTGTCCATCGGAGAGAAGGTGGTGCCGTTGAAGACTAGAGAAGTCAAGCGGTGTCTTTATCTTCATTCCTAACGGTGCTGCGGGCCTTCGTGTACTTTTCAATTTTCTCTCACGATCCCTCTGGGTATAAATTATCTTAATAAGACATTCAGCTTCTCTCAAAAGCGCAAGGCTCTCATCCATCAGATAACACCTCCCAGAAACTGCCCAAGAATGAAACAATTCATTCATGTTTATCACCTCTCCATGGATGCCGCCGCCAGGTCCTGTGCAGACCCAAGGAGGGCCTGCCTTCTAAAGGACTGCTACTGTACATCTCCCAGGATGCAGACTCCTTATGTGAAAGGAGTAACCAGGCCTGCATGAGGGGGTTTACATCTGGATTTTAATCTATGATTTCACAGGCTAGGAAGACTTGTCTTAAATTACTAGTATGTTGTGGTTTTGATATTTCTTAAATAAAAAAAAAAAAAATCAGCAGGAAAGAAGGCTCCTAATCCTTCTATTTTTGTTTTTGTTTTTGTTTTTAGAAAGCATTTATA